AGTAATTTGATGGAGAATGTGTGATTAAAAATGAAGGAAAAGTTATTGATGTGATGGAAAATATTATTTTATTGAAAAATGTATGGTTGAAAATGAGTAGAAGAATGAGAATGAAAAAAATTATATGGGCCAAATGTCAAATTTAGCATCTATTTGGTTCAACTTGAAATGTGGATTAAAATATAAGTCAAAATTAACAATTATTTAAAACCACGCATTTTATGGAACCCATACGTTTTTATCTGCACATTCCATAAACTTTTATTAAAATCTATTAAAAGTTTTTTTTTTTAAATCCAATTCCCTTCTTCTAATGAGTTTTCTTGGAAGAATGAGTTGTAGGCCATTATGCGATAAATAAGTATAGAAAGCATAGTTAATGGCAACTAGTGACCATCAAATCAAAATATAATACAATTTGTAAGTTGCTTTCTACATAGCACTATTTGTTACGCACGAAAGTCAGGAGAAACTTGGCCCAATTGGCCATTTGTATGGATATTTTCGCATGGAATTGTAATCACTTTGCCCTAATACAAACAAAACCCCCCCCAAACAAATACATCCAATCTGGCAAATTTGTTTTTATTTGCCTTCAATTATGTATTAGACATCCACAATCAAGTAAAGTAACTATGCAACGTGTTTGACACTTTGATCTAGATAAAACTGAACAATAAATGATAATTTTTGTACACGTTTCTTTTTCTTCCATCATATGTACAAATAGAGGTAAAACTAGGTCCAAGCCGACTAGGCCTAGGATGGTCTGAGTGGCCTAAAACCTAGACACGTCTCAGCTCGGGCCACTGGAAAAGACGTCCTAGCTTTTGAGCTCATTTGGGACCAAAAAATGTAAAAAAGAAAGTACATGATTTCACTTGACAATTGACACTTACGGCATATTTCACCACTATTTTCAATTTTAAATTTTCTTAAACACTGAAAATACGTTTACTTATCTATTTTCATAAATGAATTTCTAAAAACGAGTTTAAAATTTACAAAGAAAACGGAAAACGTCAAAAAAGTCGTTTTAACTGTTTTCATTTAAAACCAAGCCAAAATTTCATTTTTTTTTTTAATTTTTAGAAACAATTTTTCAATATAACAAAAAGAACGGGTTTTCAACAATTTCAAAACGCAAAATCTAAAATGAATTAAAAACTAAAAATTGAAATACGAAGAAAACAGCCTATAATTTTTGAAACGTCAAATAATTTCGATTTTCTAATTTTTCAGCATGTCAAGTAATTCCCTAGATTGTTTTCAGCAGCCCATTGTAATCTGCATTGACCAAATAGATAGCAAAGTAATTTGATAATGTTATTTTAGAATTTAGCATGAAATCCTAGGCAAAGCCATCATTATACAAACTGTTCCTCAAGATCTCATCTAGCACGTGAGTACATCACACGACGGATTGAAACACGTTTAAAAGTTTAAACCAAAAAAGAGATAAATAAATTTTGGGTAATTATATTACCACCACAAAATTTAATTTTTTTCGTATTTACTTAAATAACCTTAAGTAAATTTACATAATTAGGATTAATATACTTTTAATTAATCACACCACAAACCTAAACCTAGAGTGTGTTTGGTAGGGATTTTTGGAGGAAGAATTGATTTTTGAATTGTGNTAGGGATTTTTGGAGGAAGAATTGATTTTTGAATAGTGATATGATGAGAAATGTGTGGTTGAAAAAGAAGAAAAAAGTATAGATGTGATGGAAAATATTATTTTATTGAAAAATGTGTGGTTGAAAATGAGAATTTATTTACTGAAGAAAATTAAAATTTGTACCAAACAGACCCCTAATTTCTTCTTCTTTTCTATAATTACGAGTCTCGTGCTGTGACACCACATTTAAGAATACATCAATTTTTTTTAATCATTCTTTATATATATTATTTACAATTCGTTAGATCTTATAATTGCAAAATGCAATTCTTTAAAAGAACCATTCTTTTCTTCTTCAGTCAAAATTCTTGAATTTGATAGTCCAATCCTCCATTCGCTAAAGTCCTTTTATGTTACTGAAATCTTCACTCATCAAAATGAATAAATACACAAATATAAAATCAGATATATAATAATTCATAACGAGAAAAGTGAACAGAACTTAAAATTTACAAAATAAAGACTGCAAATATGCATCTCTCCGTGTGTATTGTAATTTAGTCCATCTTCTTTTTGTAAGTTTCACAGACCCATTTCTTTGAAATCAAGTTTTCTTCTTCTTTAGCTTCCTCTTTTTTGAAAAAATAATTAAGAAAAAATAGTGTGGATGAGAAGAAAACCTTACCCATATCTCTTGATAATGTGAATGAGAAGAAATTGGCAATGTTTTCTACTTCTTTCTTGTCCAGTCCATGTAGCCATGGATGCATGCAACATAAAAAGTACACAGTGAAAAGAAATGTTTGGAAGAAAAGAAAAAGATGAAGTTTAGTTCTGATGTATTTATTAAAAATCTGAATTCTTCCTTTTTATTATTGTTTTTAAATTAGGTATATAATTATAAATTTGTTGTAGTGTATTTATTAAAACCATGTTTTAATTGTGGCGTGGATAAAATGTGGTGTATATAATAAATTTTGTGGTGGTAATATAATTTACCCATAAATTTATTCATTTATATTTTAATCTTTAACCAAACTGCAAAAACCAAATCAAAACTATGGTATCGAAATCGCTGATTTGAGTCCACGTAGACTCCATCATTTTCAATTTCATACTCATCCAAACCACTTTGAAACAGTTCGATTTGGATTTTAATAGTTAAAAATCGTATGAAATTGAACTGAACCGAATCGAACCGAACCGAACCATTTACCTTATTTTAGAAAATAAAAATTATGTTACAAAACAAAAGTAAGTTTAAGAACCGATAAAAAAACATATTAAAATAACTTTTAGACTTTTTCTTTGAAAATTTTCCAAAAACTGTAATTCTTGAATTGCTTGATGATTGGATTTTGTCTTGCTTTGATTAAAAATTATCATCCATGATATGTCACTTCCACAAATTCAGACAAATTTTCTCCATGAGTCACATTCAATACATTTTAATAAGAAACTTGAGAAGAATACTATAAATTAATTCAAATTATTCATTTATATAAAGTTAATTTGCTAGCAATGAACTTGTCCTAAAATCAAGAAGCCTCAACAGTGCATTTCAATACAACTGATCATTCTTCATCTCCCATTTCCCTAGTGTTAAAAGGGGTAAAATCTTACATCAATTAAATTCAAAAATAATAATCAATATCTAAGGACTTTGACTAAGATTGATTTTTCAAAATTTAACATGGCATCAAAGATCAACAAATGTAAACGAGCAATTTGATAAGCATTTGGATTTCAAAATCGGTGTGCTCAAACGAAGTATCATCTTGAAAAAATATTTACAGTAAAACCCTGTACCGTTTTAAATACAAAAAATAGCAAATAAAATACAAGAACTTATAAACCATCCTAAACTCCCCCTATAAAGCTTTCCCTGTTTAAGGAAAGCCCTCTCCTTGAGATAGACGGTGAGTCAACATTCATCCAACTATTTAGATTCATGATTTTTTGCCCTGGTTTGAGGACGAGATGATTCCTTTCCATTGACACCAGATCAATGGGGATCATTACTTCTCTTAACGAGGTAGATCTTTAAAAAGGAATTCTTGAACTCGTGAAATGTTAAAAAAAAACATGAATTTAGAAAATCTTTGAGCTAAACCTTATCATCTAAACACTTGTATGATGACCCCACCTCTTTTTAAAAGTTATGGTTACAAAGTTGTGATGGTATTGCCATTATGGGTTCAAAGTTTGAAACTAGCTAAATAGATACATTGTATCAAGCCAATCTTCCTTTATGCCACCTTTTTTTTCACTTACAAGGAATTTTAGGCTAATTAGCACAAAACGTCCCTACCTTTGGGGTTGATTTTGGAAACTGTCCCTACCTTTCATTTCTTGGCATTTATGCCCCTACCTTCAACTTTTTGTGCGCTGCACGTCCTTATCACAACTTTTTGACGAGTTTACCCCACATTCAATTGAACACAAAAAGAAAAGAAAAGAAAACCTAAAGAAATAATT